CCCCTCATGGCCAATCTGAAAACAGCCCTCAGCCCCTCATCCAGGCTGGCCAGGCACCCCAGCAGGACCCCCACCCTGATCCGGGACACCCTTCCGGGCAAACCAGCCGGACCCCCACCCTTGCACCAGGGATCTATCTTATATAATAAAAGGGAAATATGCCAACAGGTGGACATCCCCCGAGGGGTCTCAGACTGCGAGAGGGCACAGGCCGGGCTGAGGGACCCCCCCCCACCACCGAGTGCACAAATTTTTGTGCACCGGGCCTCTAGTACTAGTATAAGAGCTGAAGAGATCTGTAGTCTAAATACTAAGATATGGACAGGATATATTTTCTGTGATATTTTCTCAGTCCAAGCATCACCCTCTTCTGGGAAGTCTTACCTGGCATGCTCTCTGGTGCAAGCTTCCATTAACACTATTTGAGACTTCTATTTATAGCACAAATAATTTTGTGTTTTAGCTGTTTGTCTTTTTATTAGTCTGTGGTAAATAATTTTGTCTTATCTTTGTATTCGGGTTGTTTGGCACATAGTAGGCTCTCAGTAAGTGTGTTTGCTTCAATGAATAAACATATGGAGGAATTAAACCTAAAAATCCTATATAATAAAACCCTAATATGCAAATTGACTGAACAGTGGAATGACCCCTCGCTATGATGTGCACTGACCACCAGGAGGCAGACACAACACAGGAGCTGCCTCTAGTCCACAGGCCCCAGGCCAGCCAAGGTGGGTGCCAGCAGGGGTCTCCCCTCTCCCTGCCAGTCACCCCACAGATCAGCTCTGATCATGTCCAGGCCTAGGGACCCTACCCATGTACGAATTTCGTGCACCTGGCCTTTAGTAGTCTATAAAGAGGCTGGGTATTTGTGTGCTCCTGAAATAGGTGGCCCAGATAAGAGGACTCATAACATTCATGTTACATGCTACTTTGGTACCTGATTTTATTTATATCCACTAGCTCTTAGATAGCTAAGAGCAAGTAGTGTGTTCAGGAAATCACATTCACGGCTTAGAGGAAAAAATTGTTATTTTATTGCAATATTATTTTTATGGTGGCAGTTAACCTATGAAGTAGGGGTTTAATTTCCAATAAAGAGCACATCTGTAATTATGGAATTTGTTGAAAGGTTAGAGGACTAAGAAAATCAGAAATTAATAGGTATTAGAGGTAAGGTAATGAGAATTTGGTGCATTCTTTGTGTTTGGAATTGAACCTAAGTATAGTAAGTCCTCACCTAACATCGTTGATAGGTTTTTGGTACTGTAGCAAAACTACATATAACACAACCAGTTTGACATAGGCTAATGAGTTAAATTCTTACGGCACCTCATTAACATTATAACAAAATGATGATGTTTGAAGAGCTGCTGTATTTGGAGCAAGGTTTCTCACCTTGACACTGTTGACATTTGGAACTAGGTAATTCTTTATTTGGGGGAGCTGTCTTGTATTGCAGGATGTTTAGCAGTATTCCTGGTCTCTACCCATAATACCCTCTCCCCAAGTTGTAACAGTTCAGAATGTCTCCAGACGTTGTCATATGTCCCTGGGAGGCAAAATTGCCTCAGATTGAGACCACTTCTCTAGAGGAAATATTTCCAATATATATTTCAGTAAAATCATACCTTTATGTGTTGCCTGGTATATGCTTATAAAGTAAGCTAATAAGTTCCATTTTGTTAAAATTGTCCTTGAAAAACCTTTAAGTTAAATTGTTTTGAAATCTGGTATTGGGAAGCTGCAAAGAGTCCTAGACTCATTTTCTTTAGTTTCTCCTTTCATTTCTGTGGTAGCCTCCAATTCTCTGGGATAGGAAAAATCAAGGTCTTGTTTGAAAGGGGGTAGACCATTGCTTAAATAAAGCAATATGTATATTTTTGTGAAAGAAAGTACAGGAACCTGTAGCTGATATAATTAAATGTGATGCTTTGTGATTCCATTATCTTACCATTTTACTGATATACATAAATATACACTAATCAGAGGCTTTGTCCCATTGTACTAACACTGAGAATTTGATAAATACTGATAATTGCCCTATTGAAGAGTTTGTCCTTAATTCAGTGTAGTGTGGAACAATTGCAAATTTTCAGTAGAGAAATAAAAATTGGTTTTTAAAATATAGCTCTAACTAGAAGCCTAGTGC